AGCAGTTGTTGCTACCTGTTCTATGAGGGGCAATTCGGGGGTTCAGCATCTTGCCTAAGGGAACTCCGGCATGCAGATGGGAAGACCGGGTATCGAACTGCCGACCTTCTGGTTGGAGGACGACCGCCCTTTTACTTAAAAGATATACCTTAAACTTTTGCGACTGTGCAGGGTGCAAGGATTACACCGTCTCATGTAAAAATGAAAACAGTAAGAGTTTAAGATCCCACTGACATTTATTGGACTGCAGTGTGCAGAACCATACTCTGAGCTCAAATGTATTTAAAAAAGTAATCTTTTTCAACATTACAGAGCCCTGCACAAAACTAAGGTAATAAAGCAGCTGTAGCTAAGTCACTCATTGTGGAAGAAATTAAAAACAATTCTCTACATTCCACTTTCTTCGAGCCCACAACACTCAAATGCAGAATAAGTATGCTGCCTCTTTCCTCTGGACTGATCGGGATCCTTGCTCTTGTTTGGGGTTGTAACCATAATATAAGCTGAAGCATGTTCCCAGTTATCATACAGGTAATACAAACATGCAGAAGAATAACTAATCTAAGTTCAATATAAATGAACACCCATACATCCATAGTGTAAGTGTGTGTACATGTGTGTTTAGGCTGTCCACAATGACTAAAAGTCATGCTGCAAAGTCCCAATAATAAATTCATATATATTTCATATATTTATATATAGATATATACAAACTCATATGTCTTTGCACAGTAAATGCCAAAATAAGCCCAGGGTAATACAACACAAGCAAGGAAACAATAAGTCGTCAGCACCATAACACAGGCTGTGAAATATAACAAATAAGTGTTGCTATCAGTGGCAGACTGGCCATCTGGAGTACCTGCACTTTTCCCAATGGGCCACTCGACCTGTTATGAAAAGATTAAAAAATGTCTCATGCTGTGTGATCTTGCATTAGTTTGGCCTGCTACCCTCACACAGGTAGGTGTGTGTGTGTGTGTGTGTGTGTGTGTGTAGAGATATAAATTAGAGGTCGACTAGAACCCTCTCTCCAGAATAACACGTTGAAGATTTTTTCATGGAATGGAATAACATAATAAATGTCACCGCTCCACCCCCTCCCTGTCTCATAAAGAATAAGTGACATTTCATGGGGTCTTTAATAGTTGTTTAGATATCAGGAGTTAATCACATGCACACAGATATTTTGAGTAATTGAGCCTTCAAATGATCAGATAGGGCCATGGACCCATTATTGTGCAAAGTGCAGTTATAGCTGACCATCGCAGATACGGTCATCTCTGTATTAATGATGCCATACAATAAAAAGCTCATCACATACACAGTTTATAGCTGTCCTATATAAAGTTAATTTTCATTTTAAATAAATTATCTGAGGTGAACAATGGAATTACTTTGACTCAGTGGACGGAGCCTCCACGGAAATCTCTCCGTCCCCATGTGGCTGGTTGAGGCATCGCAGCCATCTGCTATTTCAGTTTGTGATGTTGTTTAAAACACTTTCCATCAGAGTTCATGTATGTATACAACACATTAGTTAAAGCTTCATTTTAAACATTTAAGAATTATTATATCCACAATGATTGATTCTACATACAAGGGTTGAGAATAGTAATGTGACCAGGATCAGGGGGCAAATAAGAAAAATATATTGATTCTAACCAGCATCAGCAAGGTTTTATTTCTTTCATTTTCTTCTTGCACAACTTTTCATATTCATAGGTGTCAGTCAATCACTGTCACTATGTTTGATATTTCCGTCACTTCTGCTGCTCTGCATCATGTTGTGTAACGCTGCATTGTCATTTACAGGAACGGTGCAGCTCACTGTATGTCCCTAATGCAAATGTGGCAGAGTCGTTGGATGGCATGGAAGTTTGAAGTGAGATTGCATTTTTAATAAAATTACTTGTGCAGATCCACATTTCATCCCAAGCAGACAAGGGTCTGTCCCAGGTTGCAGTGCGATTAACACGGCTCAGATATCTCACGTTCTGGAACATCCCATCTGGAGGACTTCAAGGAAATTAGACAAAATCCTCAAACACTCACACGCTTGTATGATACCAGCCTCAGTCCCTGTTTCTGTCCCCCTGGAACCTCCAACCAACAGTAATTACTGTAAACGCTGGAGCAATATAGGCGAGAGCGGAGAAAGCATGAGGGAGGATGAAGGAGACGAGAGAGATAGTGGCTGTCGAAGCTGGAGCCAAAAGCTGTTCATTAAGCCAACCCCACCCCCAACTCATACTCACACATGGCACTGCAACACACATTAGACCAGCAATACAATACACATACTGTATACAACATGCTGATCTCCTGCAACATTCCTCTGGTCCAATCACTTTGCAGAATTAAGTAACATCCACATTTGCATTCAAATTTATTTTCATTTTCAGTCACTCCTCCTCCAGTCTTGAGTCCGTCTCTTCCCAGTTTTCTCGTCTTTTTCTCACCAGCTGTCCATTTCCCTCCGTCCTTTCTCCTTCCTCACTCTTCATTTTAAGACTTCATGTCCATTCCTCATCTACCAAACCCCTCTTTGTTTGCTTCAATCTCTCTCAGTTCCTTCCTCACCCTCATTCTTTTCCTCCTTCCTTCATTCACTCTCTTTTCCCAGTTCACTTGTTTCCTCTTCCCTTCTTCATCTCTGCCGCTCCCCATGAGCCCACACACACGCAGCCAATCTAAGTCAATTAAACAAACGGTTTTTGTTCTCTCTTCCATTATACTGTCTGTGACTGCATTCATGATGGACATAAGAGTCATTACAGTAAGCTCTGTGTGTGTGTGTGTGTGTGTGTGTGTGTGTGTGTGTGTGTGTGTGTATGTGTGCAAGTGCGAGTGTGAGATTTTTGCAAAGCCTAAGCTAATTAGGTAGCACCCATGGTACTGGCACCTACAATGGCAGACCAGGGAAATGTTAAGGCTGAACATACCAACATGTACAGACAAGGATTATTGTAATGACTTCAGGAAAACACACATATGCAAGGGCACAGGAACATTTTAATGTTGGAAGTGAAAACATGTGCTTTTTATCTCACTGATATTATTGTTTTGTATAATGTGCAACAATTTCTCATTAAAATTACTAAAAATGACTTGTGCAGTTAAATTATCAATATGTTTACAACAATTTTCAAACCCAAAGAAATCCACAATTTTATTTGCGTCTTTGAATTGTGTCTGTTCAGCTTTTTCCAGTCTCTGCTTTAAAGGTTCAGTGTGTATAATTTAGGGTTAGGGTTAGTGGTGGAGTAGCATGTTCCAGCTGAATACCCCTCACCTCACCCTCCCCTTCCAAACATGACAGAGAAGCTGTTGGAGCCTTCAGATGTCATGAGAACTTAAAGGTGTTTAGTTTGTCCAGTCTGGACTACTGTAAAAACATGGCGGCCTCCATAGAGAGGACCTGCTCCAGATGTAAATATAAAGTTTTTAAATATAAAGGGCTCATTCTAGGGTAAAGAAAACAACAATTCATACAATTTAGATGAAACACACTAGTGAAAACATCACTAGAATTATTTTATATTAAATTTCTGCAAATAGATCAACCAAATCTTACATACTGGACCTTTAATATTCGAGGCAAATGAAGTATCACAAAGGAAAAACACACAGCTAGCCAGTTAGCTTGTGTAAAAACTGTATATTTTTCTCCCTTTTCTCGACTTGTTTCTTCCCTTGTTCATTTATTTAGAAAACATACCATCCAGTGATAACTTTTCCATTAGGAATGCAAGATTGACGTCTGGTTTCCCAATTTCGATGCTCAACAGATGGCCAATAATTATCAAGGAAAGTCATGAGAATAAATTACTCCTACACACAAACAAGAAAGCTACACTCGCTCATAAACACACACATCTGTACATAGAGAAATACACATACACACCTGCTATTTAACAACAAAGCCGACATACACAAACACACAAGATTATAAAAAACAAGAAATGAGAGTCAACACAAACACAAATAGAAAGCTACACCTACACACACACATAAAAACACAGCCTCATTTTCGCTCGTGTAATTGAAGCCAAAACAGTTTCCAGCAGGAGTGAAAATTTATTGGCTCCACACTCACATGGTATCAGGTAGTGTGTGTGTGTCTGTGTGTGTGTGTGTGTGTGTGTGTGTGTGTGTGTGTGTGTGTGTCCGTGTGTATGTGTGTGTGTGCACAGCGGATCTGTGATAAATCGACTCCATACCTGGGTAATAAACAATACAACATACTTTTTCCATGGGGAGGCGCCTTGCTTGCAGCATGGTCAAATGTGTGTGTTTGCGTGTGTGGTCCATGTTGTGGGGACCTAATCCGCTTACACAATCACATAATAGGGACTCGTCGTACAAAATCTAATTCCCAGAGGTGTAAATATTAAACTTTTAGGGTGTTTACTGTGAAGGTAAGGGTTATTGTTTGGTAAGCAGTACTTATGTATAAGGTTAAGTGTCCAGAAAATAAAGGTAAGCGAATGTAATTTCCTCTGAGGTCATGGAGATGTGATCATGTGTGTGTCCTTGTTCCCTCCTTTTCACTTTCCTGATTTTTTGTCTTATCCCAATTTTACAGCATCACCTTTGTCTCAGCTTTTGACCATTTTCTGCTTTTATTCTTTTCATAATACTTTGTCACTGGGATTTTACTTTATTTTCTCTTTTGTAAAACTCCCTCTGTATTCCCTTATTCATGTTTCTCTTTTCAGCACCCTCCACTTCTCTCCTGTCTTTTTATGATTTACCGTCTTTCTGTTGCTCTAACACAAGAACCGAGCTTCAACAAATGAGGAGCCAAACTTTTACATTCAACCTGTCTCTTCTATCTTTCATATGAGTTAACTACAATCAGCCTCAGCAATCAGGTCTTCAAAGAGCTTCCACTGATAAACTTTAACATTTTGGACACAAAACAGTGCCAGAGACAAAGGCAGTGTTTCCACTGAGATAAGACTCAGCAGGACAGTTACTGTTACAGATTTTATTTTTTTATCCTGGTTTGAGTGAAGTATTTATCAAAAACAGCATCTGAAATCATTGCACAAAATGACTTGGTGAGTGCACACAATGCACACAATGCACACACTGAACACCTTGTTGGGCCTGTACTGGATGAGGCATATTATCTTGCTCCTGTGGCAGCTGTGCTTTTCAGTTTCCTGATGATTCTCCTTGTTTTAGAAAAATGGAATTCCGTTACATGCTCAAACTGCATATCTACAAATAATTATCATGTCGCACAGTGAAGTAGACCGCCCACTTCATTCTTTGCACCAAGAGTGCTTAGCAAATTTATGCACACGCTGGCTACAGCATGAATTTTACGACAGAGTTAATTACCATCAAATACACGTACAGACTTTTAGTGTTTTTTGTAATGCTTTAGAAATCCCACAACTCCGATTGTCTGATTGAAATGCTGCCACTAGTCTGTTAAAATACCCAGCCTTGGAGGTGTCATTCAAACCATTTATATGACACAATATAAGATGAAGTTTAGGGCTTGGCCTGAGTGTGTGGAGATATGATAGTGAACAGGCAGAGAGCTATTGAAAGAGGCTGAGAGAGCGAGACACACAGGAGCAGCATTAGAGCAGATGGAGAGTTGTGTGTGAGAGTTTGTTTTATGGGGTATATACATGTTGGTCGTGTAAAATTTATCAGTGAGAAATGGGTCTGAGAGCAGCATGGGCTGACGCAGCAAGTTCGAGTTCACACACAATTTGAAGCACGCAAGCACACTCACACACACACTCACGTAGATACTGATGAGGACATGTATGTCAATATATAGTATGTATGTAAAACTACATATAGTTACATGAATATGCAAGCCTAAAGAGACACAGACACACACACACACACACACACATACACACACACACACACACACACAGAGAGAGAGAGAGAGAGAGAGGAAGTTGCTTGAGGGAAGCAATAAAATGTGTCATGGCCAGATCTCATCTGTCACTGCTTATTGCACCACTGCAGTCTGACCGAAACACACACACACACACACACACACACACACACACACACACACACACTAAACAACCATACTATAGTACAAAGCAACACACTACAGACCAGATCCCGCTCCACACACACACAGCGAATACATATACAGCATCTACTCCACTCATTTCTTCCCTTGGGTATATTAAGAGCAGTAATGGTGCTGTTGCATTACTTCATTGTGTGCCCGTGTGCACAAATGTGTGTGTGCTTGTGTTACTGCTGTTGTGGAGAATAGCTATTAACATAAAGAATGGTTCTACAGCACTAAACAATCCCCCACTGTCCAAAGGACTAGACCCCTTACACACACACATACACACACAGACTACTATACACTTACAATAATGACCTATTTTGTAAAGCACACTGAACATTACAAGTACACACTCATAAACTTCTCATTTGTTATGTATTAAAGTCATTACGGAGAGAGGGAGCATGAGAGGAGGGGGAGCGAGAGGAGAGTGAAAGCGGGATTAAGAAAGAGGGCTGCATGTGTAGAGAGGAGTAATCAGAAGAATCATCAGGAACATGAAAACACAAACACATACACAAAAATAGCAAATATAATATAGTATAGTATATATAATAATACATAAAAATCCCTCCATCCCCTGGATCCAGGTCTCCGACCTGCAAAAGCTCCTTGAGGATCATCAAGCCTTTTTTACAGATTCTTCACTCAATGAACTCAAGCAGAACCCAACTCTAAGTTTACAATATCCAGGTACGTCAGAGCTCAAGCATTCCTGAACTTGCACAAGCTTTACATCTTCATTTAAGGTACGGTTGGTAAGTTGTTTCTGAAACAACTTCATCTTCACCTCAATCGATAAATGAAGTCATCTGTCTGTGACCCCCCGACTGTAATAAACTCAACGGTTTCTTTCAAATGAAATGATTGACCGGTGTTTGTGTCTGTCACTTACTGACCTGCCTGCACACGCAGGATCACCACTGCCGGGGAAACACACACCACAAACAGCAGTGAGGACAGCCAGCAGTGAGCGAGCGAGCCAGAGAAAAGTCGGCTTCTAGCAGTCGTCAGGCTGGGAGCATTCCTGTGTTTTGGGGGTGTAGCTTTGACAAAAGGACCAATGGGGTGGTCCTCTCGTCAAAGTGTAGCCTTCTCTTGCTAGCTTTTCCAGGATTACCAACTCAAGCTTTAACAGGATTATATGAAGTGGTGTAGAGGATAATAGGGTGTAAAGTCTCAGTGAGATAACACATCAGTATGTGTTATACCTTCTGTATCTGTTCTCCCATGTGTCTCACACAGACTGAATATAGACAGTACAGTTACAGTGAAAACAATGCAGACATTCTGTCGTGCTCACTGCTAAATGATTCAAATCTCATTTCCCTGGCTCTTGTTTTTGAAAGGTATCACCCAGTGTTGATTTATATTAACTGACAAAGTAACTGTGACACACTTTGTACATTTCCTTTTCTCATTTTGTCTCTCTCTCTCTTTCTGCCTCTCTATCTGGATGACTTCCTCCTCTCTTCCCCCTCCCTCATCTCTCTCCTCCTGCTTGTTTTTTTCTCACACACTCTTCGTCCCTTTCTTCTCTTTAATCCACTCAACGCTGTTCGCTCTTCATCTCCCTCAAACTGGAGCAGAATTCCCATCGGAATCTTGAACTGCATTTAATCAGCAGTTTTTCAGTTTTCTCAGCTTCACATCCAAACACGGACAAACACACACACACACACACACACACACACACGAGACTGTAATACTCATTATAAACCAGTTTGTGTGATCTAAAGTTTGTGTTTCACCAATAGCAGGTGTGGTGAAATAAATATAAAGACGGTCGTGGTTTATGTATTTTTCATACATTTTTGTGGGGAACATAAATAACTGTGTGAAACTTCATAGCAACCCTTCATGTAGTCCAGCTACTTCACTCAGTCAACCTCATGGTGGCGCTAAGTAAAGTCATTGGGTTTCATTCTTTGGGAACATTGATTATCTGTACTATCATTTCATGGCAATATCCATCCAGTATTTACTGAGGTATTTAGTCTGAATCCAAATAGTAAACTGACCAAGTGACAGACAGACATTACAATCCTTCAGCCCTGTCATTAATCAGAGTAAAAACCTCATGTGATGAGCCATTTTCAGACATGACTTCCGGAGAATGTCTGCAGAATTGGGTCCGGAGTGTAGCAGACGCATGAACAACACAGAGATCTGCAGAGTGTTCAGGTGAGTGATGTGTTTTCACATTGGCTCCTCCAGACTTTCTGCAGACTTTATACTAAGGGGCTGGCCAGAGAAGGTCAGCAGAAAGTCCGGAGGCTCTCACTCAGACAATTGCATTCACACATACCACCCCTCCAGAGAATGTCTGCAGGATCTCCCGGGTTTAAGACCTGCCTGAAAGCAGCTATATAAAAACCTCATATCTCAGCATTTTCTACTTTTAGCTTATCAAATAGCAAATCTAAACATTGAGTTTTAAGTTAAAGGAAAATTATTAGTTTTAAATATCCAATGACATGAAAAAAAAAGTTTTTTGCTTGCTTTAAGCGTTAGTACGACCTCCTTAGATCATTGACATACGGTAATCACACATACCCAATTATTGTCATTGGACAAACACAATACGCACAAACATGTTGAATTCAAGGTTCGTGGAGACATGAAGTCTAGAAGTCAGGCATCAGATCACACAAAACAATCTGCAGTTAAAATCCTGGTGAAGGCAGCTGGTGTGTTTTAAGAGAATAGACCTGAGGTTGTTCTGGGAACACACACACACACACACACACACACACACACACACACACACACACACACACAC